GATCTTTTACTGGCTCATAATAAAAAACATACAACCCTCTGCCACAATGTCTGAGGTTATTTTGGAACAGTCTTATTGACACTGAGCTGCCATTGTTGGAATGAAAAAGGGATATAAGGATTTGAAAGGAGATCCTCACATCACAGAGAGAGCGCTTGAACCTACACGCACAACTGGGCATACACTACAGGAAAATGAGAACATCTGAGCTCTGGGGATTTTAGTTGAATAGAGCGTTTAACAAAAACTCAGATTTACAGCGAGGGATTTTTTTCGAAGCTCTGAAGTTATCAACTTTGAACCTTGTCTAAAAAGTTTCAGCTTCTCATTTTGAGAAAATTCCAAATGTACAGCTTCTTAATCTTTCACTGCAGACATATGGATCTGCATCAAAGTGTAATACCTTCAGACACAGCCTGATAAGGTCACAATTTTTTGGTTTTGGACAGCCAGTCCAGAGTGCTCAGATATAGCAAGGGAGAATTTACACATGTTGACACCATTCAGTCCTGTAGCACATCATGATTTGCTGTGCTACAGCTGAAGACATTAACTCCAATGACAAAAATATAAATGGTAATTATCAGAACTAAACAATGGACATATTATTGCTTTTTTTCATCCATGCTGCAGGCAGTGCTCTGTCTTTAGCAGAGTGTACCAACTGCTCTCAACACAAGAGGTTCACCATATTCAGCTGCTGACTTCAATCACAGAATAGCACAAAAGACCCAGTTGGCTATCACTTGTTTCATCTTAAATGGATCTTAACCTTTCACTCGGTTTGCACTGATGCACAAAAAGTCTGATGAGACAAGACACCCAATAGATGTGTGTTTGACTTAGACTGTGCCTCGCCTTACTAATTGGCAAGATTTGCCACTTGCTGACATGGGAAAGACTAGGCAGAGTCAACTAATGGAAAGTAACTCATGAATTAGTTCTTTCAAACTGTTAATTTCTCATTTTAAGAAAAGGCTAAAAAAATGATTCAGTGATTCTTTTGCCACCATTTTGTCCGTGACATATTCCAGGTACATATTACTTGTTTGCATTTAATTCAGGTTGTTGCATCCATGATTCAGCTCACAAAAACATAGAGCCATTTAAAACCTACATAATTTGAATCTACATAAGAATTAGTCCAGAACAGCTTGGACTGATTTAGGTAAATTTCTGAACTGTTTTGTGAACTGGTTCATGTAACCATGGTTCCCCGAGAGGGAACGAGATGCTGCATCCTCTAGCGGACACTTTGGGGACTGCCACCAGCAGGACCGGTGTCTGAAGCACATGTGAAACAACTCCAATCCCATTGGCTCACATAGTCTTGGACGTCACAGACGGGCACCCGGAAGTATAAGAGGGCATGCACCTGCCAAACACGTCACCAACTTGGTTGTCTGAAGGAGACATGAAACCGGCAAGCCCTAGGCGTGGTAAGGGGATGCATCGTCTCGTTCCCTCTTGGGTTACATGCGCAACCCGAGACGTTCCCCTTCTAGGGAACTTGCGCTGCATCCTCTAGCAGACACTATGGGGAACGGAATGCCCACTCAGCCATACCGTGGTGCATACCTGTTCGCCCGGTGAGAAAGCACCAAGGGAAGCTACAGACATACACCGAACCTTCCTTCAGAAAGGGGGCAAGCCATAGACGCCCGTGGCCACTAACATAAACCAGAAAAATGGGGAACCCAGCCAAACAGGAGGGTCACTCCATTAACCAAGCTAGGAATACAGGTACCCTCAGAAGACTATGTTACAACGAGTCAAAGCAACATGCAGGGCTCAGGAGGACCGTCCACTTAAAAACCCTGTGGCTAAGCTCAAGGGATAAGGGGAAGTAAAGGGATAAGGGGAAGGAGACGGACCAGCACCCTCAGAGGTTTCAGAGGAAGACTTGGGACGGTGGGGAATGAACTTCCTGAAAGCAGCGGACTGCGTCTTCACCTCACGATCTGAGTCTACGCTGTGCCTCAGCAGCAGCGGGAACAGAACCACAAGATGTAGACACTTGTCCCTCATCCCTCAAGAAGAGAGACAAACACGAACTGAGCATTTTCATTGGAAATTTATCACAAAGAGCACATTCAGAGCCCTCGAGCACTGAACGCGCGTGCTCCACACCAAGACAGATAACACATAGATTGTGTGTGTCCACAGTTGTCAGAAACCTAGGACACGGAGGCACACACTTTCTAAAATGCTCACCTGCCTTGGTTTTCTCCATAACGCCTTCACACACACTGTCAAACAGCTAATGAAGACAACAAAAGTGATGTCTTTGGCAGGTGCCCACTTATACTTCCGGGCACCCGTCTGTGATGTCACAGGCTACATGAGCCAATGGGATTGGAGTTGTTTCTCGTGCTTCAGACACCGGTCCTGCTGGCGGCAGTCCCCAAAGTGTCTGCTAAAGGACGCAGTGCAAGTTCCCTAATTCTGAATCAGCATAGTAAGTATTAGTGAAGCCATTTGTTGTTGCACTAATGACCTGCCAGTTGTGAGTTGCATGTTAAATGTTCATCTGCTTGGCAGGACAATATCCACTCATTGCTCTGGGTCATGCCTTAAAGAGCAGAAAAGCAATACATGAAAATGAAATTATAGCGCTTGAACAAGCATTTGTGGCTATATTAGACGGGATAAACAAAATCCTTTTGTCTCACCATAAAACATCATTAGCCGACATTTAACAATGTATTTGACCTAAATGACTTGATGATCCTATCAGATAGAGACTTTTCATTGGATTAGACTTTGTGTTAACCTCCTCAAGAGAAATGTAAATGATGAGAACAAAGCTTAATCTGAGGGTGACCTAGAATGTAACTTGAATACTGATAAGAGTGTGAACTAACCCACAACAGATTTATGATCTGTCATGTGATATTTAAAGTATCTTGTGAAAGATTAGATTGGTCGATTGTTGAATGAAGATTTCCCCCCCCCTCTCGAGTAAGCAATATTCCAAAATTTTGACATACTAGTGTAAAGATAAACACCTCTTCTGGGAATTAAAGGTAGTGGAGGTGACATGGCTGTGTATTCTCATAATGATTTTCTAACTTTATTAATTTTGTGACATGAGGACTAAACAAAATCCCCTATTTTTCCACTATTTTAATGAAACCAATCAGTTTAATACATACCATTAAAACTTGGCATAACATAGAGATCAGTTTGTCCAGTGAGGTGAACTTGTCCCCAGGTACAGCAGTCACTTATTAAACTTGAATAAAGCCTACAGGAGTGATTTCTTGTTAGCGATGAGCCATTATTATGATTGGACTTTGGGTTGCTGAAGTAAAAATAATCTAATAATTAAATAAACAAACACTCCTCTTTTAAGGAAGTATTTGGTTAGATTGACCTATGATTTTTTTAAATATAGTTTCCTACTTAAACTCTAACCTCTCAACTCATATTACTTCTAGGCTACTGAAGGGAACTGTAAGGACTCAAGAAGATTACAAAAAGAAGGTTAAGTTTAAAAAGTAATGTATAATATGTGTTGATAGGCTTATGGCTTTTATATAGAATATACATTGATGTCAGCCATACTATACTATATATAGGCCTAATATACTATACTATACCTGATTGGTAGCTCTGTAAAAGCCATAATGATATATCATTTCAGTGATATAGACATTTGCGGTGGTTAGATGTTTTGGAAATGGTTTTAACCTTGACTTAGATGCTCCATTAAAGGACAGTCTGTTGTCTCTGTAGCTCTGGAGTGATGGTGTTCTCTGCTTCACAGGGACATTGTGAGTTCTGACGTGTGCTTTTAGATGAGAGCGTTCTCTGAAGGCACTGCAGCATATAGAACACTGAAATGGTCTCTGATTTGTGTGAATAAGACAATGCCTTTTTAGTTTGGATGGAGCACCAAATCGTTTATGGCACACAGGGCAATCATAAACTCTTTTGTTTCCATTAGAATTCGAGTGATTTCTTGTTAGCGATGAGCCATTATTATGATTGGACTTTGGGTTGCTGAAGTAAAAATAATCTAATAATTAAATAAACAAACACTCCTCTTTTAAGGAAATATTTGGTTAGATTGACCTATGATTTTTTTTAATATAGTTTCCTACTTAAACTCTAACCTCTCAACTCATATTACTTCTAGGCTACTGAAGGGAACTGTAAGGACTCAAGAAGATTACAAAAAGAAGGTTAAGTTTAAAAAGTAATGTATAATATGTGTTGATAGGCTTATGGCTTTTATATAGAATATACATTGATGTCAGCCATACTATACTATATATAGGCCTAATATACTATACTATACCTGATTGGTAGCTCTGTAAAAGCCATAATGATATATCATTTCAGTGATATAGACATTTGCGGTGGACCATTAAGTGTACAATTGCTAAGGGTGAGAAAACAAATTACACTATCTAGTGGACATACATGGAACTACTGCAAATGGCACCACACTATGATCACCATTGTGTAGTAGACAACTGAATAAAATGAATGAATAATAGCAAGAGTTTATAAGTCTGAAAAATTACAAATAGATGGTCAAATGCCATGTTGTAATGATATCTGATGTACATTTCTTTCAGTGCTGCAAATTACTTTATTTGTTAAAAAAAACTAAAACAAAAAAAAAACAATGGAACAACCAACATTTAAATTGGGAAATTTACATTTCTTGTTGTTTTTTTTTCCACACACAAATATATGGTTACATCATACTGTAACAGGAAATCCAAAAATGTAAAAATAAAATAAAGAACAAAATTTGTCATAAGACATTATTTACAATAATTATGGTTTCAAATTCTGTTTCTGTTTAGCAAAAAACTACATCGAACACAACTAATTTACAGTGAAAACCCTTTTGGTTTGGTCATATCTTTGGGCAACCCTAGAGTAACCCTTCTACCTGTGGGACAGCATGTGTGTTTTCAGATGATGGGACTGCGTGAAGGACTTCTGACACTGTGTGCACTGGAACGGCCTCTGACCAGTGTGAGTAACACAATGTCTCTTCAATTTGGATGGTGCACTGAAGAATTTTAAGCAAATGTCACACTGGTGGGATTTCTTTATTTTCCCTTCAGAATATCTGTTTGCACATTTATGAGCATATAAGCTCCTTATCGTAGGGAAACACTGACTACAGTCAGGACAAACGGGAAGGTCATGTGGAGGTTTGGTAAAGCATTCACCTGGATCTTGAAAGTCCAAAAGGCCCACAACAACAATTTCTCTGAGTCCGGGCACATCAGGTTTCTGTTGATACAGGCAAGAACTGGGCTCGTAAGAATCAGGGACACATTTAACAGTGTCCGAGTCCACAAAGACACAATCTTTAATATCATCCATGTGATGTGCCCATTTTTCTTCAATTCTTGATTCAGAAGCACAGTGATGGAGAGATGAGTCAGTTTTGGGTGGACAGTCACTCATCCTGCCAAAAGGCACGTCAGATGCCTTTTTCCCATCAAGCAAGATGTCAGTTTTATCGGTCATACCCCAAACTGATTTGTTGTTGCACTGGAAAACAACCTCTGACTTCTCTAAGGGACTAGTACTTTTTGAGAAATATAAATCTGAATCATTGCAGTCACCACTTATTTTTTGAGATGGCATATCATGTGTAACAATATTTTGATCTTGGTGCACGGTTGACTTTTGTTTTTCTGTTGAACTGACATTGTTTTGAGCAGTTAGATGTTTTGGAAATGGTTTTAACCTTGACTTAGATGCTCCATTAAAGGACAGTCTGTTGTCTCTGTAGCTCTGGAGTGATGGTGTTCTCTGCTTCACAGGGACATTGTGAGTTCTGACGTGTGCTTTTAGATGAGAGCGTTCTCTGAAGGCACTGCAGCATATAGAACACTGAAATGGTCTCTGATTTGTGTGAATAAGACAATGCCTTTTTAGTTTGGATGGAGCACCAAATCGTTTACGGCACACAGGGCAATCATAAACTCTTTTTTGTCCATTAGAATTCTTTCTTTGCAACACCTTCACATTTACATCCTTGTCCTCACTTTTTGTTGTGACACTGGCTTCTTGTTCCTCCTCAGTTCCTTGGTTTTCCTCCATCCACTGGCTTTCTGAAAGTTTGGAAGAATATGCAGAACTCCGTCCAGTGTAAAGATCCAAACCTCCTTCATTTAGAAGAGAATCTTGCAAATATACATCTGGATCACTGCAGTGACCAATCATTTTGTGAGATGCCATATTCTCTGTAACCATATTTTGATCTTGGTGCACTGTTGACTTTTCTTTATCTGTTGACTTGGTGTTTCCGTTAGAATTCTTTCTTTGCAACACCTTTGCATTTACATCCTTGTCCTCACTTGGTGTTGTGACACTGGCTTTTTGTTCCTCCTCAGTTTCTTGGTTCTCCTCCATCCACTGGCCTTCTGAAAGTTTGGAAGAATATGCAGAACTCTCTCTAGTGTGAAGATCCAAACCTCCTTCATTTAGAAGACAATCTTGAAAATATACATCTGAATCACTCCAGTCGCCACTAATTTTTTGAGACGCCATATTCTCTGTAACAATATTTTCATCATGGTGAACTGTTGATTGTTGTTTTTCTGTTGCACTGGCATTGTTTTGGGCAGTTAGATGTTTTGGAAAGGGTTTTAACCTTGACTTAGATGCTCGATTACAGGACACACTGTTGTCTCTGTAGCTCTGGAATGATGGTGTTCTCTGCTTCACAGGGACATTGTGAGTTCTGACGTGTGCTTTTAGATGAGAGCGTTCTCTGAAGGCATTGCAGCATATGGAACACTGAAATGGTCTCTGATTTGTGTGAATAAGACAATGCCTTTTTAGTTTGGATGGAGCACCAAATCGTTTCTGGCACACAGGGCAATCATAAACTCTTTTTTGTCCATTAGAACTCTTACTTTGCAACACCTTCACATTTGCATCCTTGTCATCACTTTGTGTTGTGACACTGGCTTCTTGTTCCTCCTCATTTTCTTGGTTTTCCTCCATCCACTGGCCTTCTGAAAGTTTGGAAGAATATGCAGAACTCTGTCCAGTGTGAAGATCCAAACCTCCTTCATTTAGAATAGAATCTTGCAAATATACATCTGGATCACTGCAGTGACAAATCATTTTTTGAGATGACATATTCTCTGTAAGAATATTTTGACCTTGGTGCACTGTTGACTTATTTTTACCTGTTGACTTGGTATCATCTTGCGCAGTTGGTTGTTTTGGAAAAGGATTTGACCTTGACTTAGATGCTCGATTACAGGACACTTTGTTATCTCTGTAGCTCTGGAGTGATGGTGTTCTCCGTTTCACAGGGACATTGTGAGTTCTGACGTGTGCTTTTAGATGAGAGCGTTCTCTGAAGGCACGGCAGCATATGGAACACTCAAATGGCCTCTGATTCGTGTGAATAAGGCAATGCCTTTTTAGTTTGGATGGAGCACCAAATCTTTTATGGCACACGGGGCAATCATGAACTCTTTTGTTTCCATTAGATTTCTTACTTTGCAACACCTTCACATTTACATCATTGTCCTCACTTTGTGTTGGGTTACTGGCTTTTTGTTCCTCCTCATTTTCTTGGTTTTCCTCCATCCACTGGCCTTCTGAAAGTTTGGAAGAACATGCAGAACTCTGTCTAGTGCGAAGACCTAAACCTCCTTCATTTAGAAGTGAATCTGGCAAATATACAGCTGAATCACTCCAGTCGCCACAAATTTTTTGAGACGCCATATTCTCTGTAACCATATTTTCATCTTGGTGAACTGTTGATTGTTGTTTTTCTGTTGAACTGGCATTGTTTTGGGCAGTTAGATGTTTTGGAAAGGGTTTTAACCTTGACTTAGATACTCGATTACAGGACACTTTGTTGTCCTTATAGCTCTGGAGTGATGGTGTTCTCTGCTTCACAGGGACATTGTGAGTTCTGACGTGTACTTTTAGATGAGAGCATTCTCTGAAGGCACAACAGCATATGGAACACTGAAATGGCCTCTGATCCGTGTGAATAAGACAATGCCTTTTTAGTTTGGATGGAGCACCAAATTGTTTATGGCACACGGGGCAATCATAAACTCTTTTGTTTCCATTAGAATTCTTTCTTTGCAACACCTTTGCATTTACATCCTTGTCCTCACTTTGTGTTGTGACACTGGCTTTTTGTTCCTCCTCAGTTTCTTGGTTTTCCTCTATCCACTGGCCTTCTGAAGGTTTGGAAAAATATGCAGAACTCTGTCCAGTGTGGAGATCCAAACCTTCATTTAGAAGGGAATCTTGCAAATATACAATGGAATCACTGGAGTCACCACTCATTTTTTGAGACTCTATAACCATATTTTGACCTTGGTGAGCTGTAGCAGAGTATTCAGCTCCATCTTGTTTGGATATTTGCAGATCTTGGTCTTTAGATTTTTCAGCATTACTAAAAGAAACTGTATGATCATGTTCCAAATGACCAGCAATTATATTCCAACCCTTTTTTTTGTGGATCCTCACGTGAAGCTGCAAATGGCCCTGATATCGAAATGATTTCAAGCACACTTGGCACTTAAATGGTCTGCTATCTGTGTGGCTCAAAATATGTCTGGTGAGCTTAGAAGGATACGGAAAGTTCTTTAGACAGATGCTGCACTGATTCACACCTTTCTGTTTGTGCTTAAGGTAACTTGGGCTGGAGGTTGTGATCTGCATTTGAGTATTGTTCAAAGCATCAGAGCTTTTAATCTCTATGGTACTTGAATTTGACTCGGTCAATGGGACATTTTGGTTGAGCTTGCTTCGGCATTCAAGTTTTTTATGCTTTTTGGTCTCTAAAGAGTCTAATATCTGAGGTAAACACACATTACCACCAACCGGTCTGCAGTTATTTTTTCCTTCTATAGCTCCAGGTGTTGGAGGTTTGGCCTCGTGCTTCTGCTGGACTCTACTCAACCTAGATTTATTGTTTCTTTTTCCTGTATGTACCTTGAGGTGTTTCTGGAGATAATAGGCCTGTTTGAATGACTTTCTGCAGATTGTGCAAGTGTAAGGCTTGACGTCAAAATGAACAAACAGGTGTCGAGTTAGTTTTGAGGGAAAACTGAATTTCTTCAAGCATATTTCACACTGATATCCACTTTTCTTTTTCAGTTGAACCTTCATTTAGAAGAGAATCTTGCAAATATACATCTGGAACACTGCAGTGACCACTCATTTTTTGAGATGCCATATTCTCTGCAACCATATTTTGATCTTGGTGCACTGTTGACTTTTCTTTATCTGTTGACTTGGTATCATCTTGGGCAGTTGGTTGTTTTGGAGAGGGATTTAACCCTGACATAGATGCTTGATTACAGGACACACCGTTGTCTCTGTAGCTCTGGAGTGATGGTGTTCTCTGCTTCACAGGGACATTGTGAGTTCTGACGTGTACTTTTAGATGAGAGCGTTCTCTGAAGGCACAACAGCATATGGAAGACTGAAATGGCCTCTGATTCCTGTGAATAAGACAATGCCTTTTTAGTTTGGATGGAGCACCAAATCGTTTATGGCACACGGGGCAATCATAAACTCTTTTGTTTCCATTAGAATTCTTTCTTTGCAACACCTTTGCATTTACATCCTTGTCCTCACTTTGTGTTGTGACACTGGCTTCTTGTTCCTCCTCAGTTTCTTGGTTTTCCTCTATCCACTGGCCTTCTGAAGGTTTGGAAAAATATGCAGAACTCTGTCCAGTGTGGAGATCCAAACCTTCATTTAGAAGGGAATCTTGCAAATATACAATGGAATCACTGGAGTCACCACTCATTTTTTGAGACTCTATAACCATATTTTGACCTTGGTGAGCTGTAGCAGAGTCTTCAGCTCCATCTTGTTTGGATATTTGCACATCTTGGTCTTTAGATTTTTCAGCATTACTAAAAGAAACTGTATGATCATGTTCCAAATGACCAGCAATTATATTCCAACCCTTTTTTTTGTGGATCCTCACGTGAAGCTGCAAATGGCCCTGATATCGAAATGATTTCAAGCACACTTGGCACTTAAATGGTCTGCTATCTGTGTGGCTCAAAATATGTCTGGTGAGCTTAGAAGGATACGGAAAGTTCTTTAGACAGATGCTGCACTGATTCACACCTTTCTGTTTGTGCTTAAGGTAACTTGGGCTGGAGGTTGTGATCTGCATTTGAGTATTGTTCAAAGCATCAGAGCTTTTAATCTCTATGGTACTTGAATTTGACTCGGTCAATGGGACATTTTGGTTGAGCTTGCTTCGGCATTCAAGTTTTTTATGCTTTTTGGTCTCTAAAGAGTCTAATATCTGAGGTAAACACACATTACCACCAACCGGTCTGCAGTTATTTTTTCCTTCTATAGCTCCAGGTGTTGGAGGTTTGGCCTCGTGCTTCTGCGGGACTCTACTCAACCTAGATTTATTGTTTCTTTTTCCTGTATGTACCTTGAGGTGTTTCTGGAGATAATAGGCCTGTTTGAATGACTTTCTGCAGATTGTGCAAGTGTAAGGCTTGACGTCAAAATGAACAAACAGGTGTCGAGTTAGTTTTGAGGGAAAACTGAATTTCTTCAAGCATATTTCACACTGATATCCACTTTTCTTTTTCAGTTGAAGCATACACATGCGATCAGAAGACTTGGATACTGGAAATATCCTTTTTCCGGCAGGGGTGACTACATCTGGTGACACAACACCTTCGTCAGCATTCTGCTTGATCTTGTTCTCTTTCACTTGCCGATCACTCAAAATGGAGTTGCATTCCAGTCTAAATTCTTCCTTACACTTGTGAACTTTCAAGTGTGATTTCTCTCGGAAAGCTTTGGGGCACACAGAGCATTTAAAAGGTCTTTCCCCAGTATGAATCAGAATGTGACGTTTGAGCTTTGATGGGGCTTTAAAGCATTTTAAACATAAAGGGCACCAATGTCCTTTTGTAATTTTAACACCCACGGTACCTGAATTAGATTCGATTAAGTCTGTTGCTGCTGTCTTTTGTTTATATGTTGAACTGGTAACGTTCTGGGCAGTTCGGTTTTTTGGAAAAGGTTTTAACCTTGACTTAGATGTTTGACTACAGGACACTTTGTTGTCCTTATAGCTCTGGAATGATGGTGTTCTCTGCTTCACAGGGTTTGTATGAGTTCTGACGTGTACTTTTAGATGAGAGCGTTCTCTGAATGCACGGCAGCATATAGAACACTGAAATGGCCTCTGATCCGTGTGAATAAGACAATGCCTTTTTAGTTTGGATGGAGCACCAAATTGTTTATGGCACACGGGGCAATCATGAACTCTTTTGTTTCCATTAGAATTCTTACTTTGCAACACCTTCACATTTACATCCTTGTCCTCACTTTGTGTTGTGGCACTGGCTTCTTGTTCCTCCTCAAATATTTGGTTTTCCTCCATCCACTGACCATCTGAAGGCTTGGAAGAATATGCAGAACTCTGTCCAGTGTGAAGATCCAAACCTCCTTCATTTAGAAGGGAAAGTTGCCTCTGAGTTGACATCTTGCTTGAAATGTTAAGCATTCCCTTCACACACTGCAAAGACAGAACAATATTAGTGCATCCATTCTTAAGCACATCTAATTCTTCAAACACTTTGGTTTTCAAAAGTACAAATACATTTGTATTTTTGTCAACCTTTTATTGATAAATTTTGATGTCAGTGCTGAGACATCTAGTTCTCAAGGAAAGCCCCTCCATCACATGTAGGTTGTCAAAAGCATCTGTGCAGCAACCATCTGTTGTCCATTTGCAGTTATTTCAGACTTCTGCCACTCTAAGCCATTCATTTAATTGATCAGATCAGTTTTTTTTTAATTTTTTTTTATAAAACCTGACCAAGCACATCACATTCTCTGCACAAAAAAAAAAGAAAACAAATATTGATATAGATAGATA